TCTGACTACACGCTGTGTAAAGAAGTGCTTCCTTAAATCCAGTTTGAAGTGTTCTCCTGCTAATTTCCACCTATGGCCACAAGTTCTTGTATTTGAACTAATGCTGAAGTAACTATTCGGTTGAACAGCATCCAAACCTGTTAGCGGAACCATGGATAGAACTTGCGGCCACTTTGTAGACCCGGATTTTCAGCTCACAGGAAAATAATCAGACAAATAAAATAACCAGAAGAACAGGCGACAAACATCTGACATATTACATGGTAGATACAAAGAAGAGACCTTCATCAAAATAAGTCAGGCATTTATTGGTGTATTTTCAGAGATATAAATACATAGAAGACATAAATTAAAAGTTTAACTGTATGGTTCAAGTTGACTCGGCAAAACAAACGTTTATTGGAATGTTAAATACCAGCACTAGCGTGGTGGAGCACAAATATAACAGCGCTAACATGCTAACCAATAGCTGACATTGTATTGTACTTAATATTTCGCCAAAATGGGAAAATTTCATTTTTGCCATGAGAAGTGCTACCCCAGGAGGAGGAGGTCAGAGGATTGCTGGCTTTGTGTTGGCATCGCGGTGTCGGAAAGATCTACCCATTATGGTTCAAATCCTGGCATTAGTTTCTCTTTCCTATTACAGAGAAGAAAAAAACCTCCTGCTCAAAATTCTAAATCATCCAACTGCTAAATATTGATGCAATTTCTTCAAACATTTATTATGATCCATTTACACAAAACAGAACATTTTGTACCACTGAGTATTTGACTGGCAAAATTTTTTAAAAAATGTAAGGAGATTAAGACTTAAAGGTAATGTGGATTTTTGCTGAATGTACGTTATTAGAGTAGTTCAATGGCTGAATAAGGATTTAACTGAAACTTGGGAGAACGGCCTGCATCCCAAGGTAATACATTTCATAGGCTCATCGGCCTTGGCGGGATTCATCCCTTTAATGTTATCCTAATGGAATTAAATTGAGAAACAAAATTACATTGGGTGAGAAGATGCAATGCAACACTTCCTCTTACTGGGCGGCTCGCGGGAGAACGTGATCTCACTATCGACAGCCAGCACCTGCTGGTCTCATCTAGAAAATTTGGGTGGGGACGTTTCTATTACTC